TCCTCAGCCGTTAGCGCCTCCATCCTCAGCCGTTAGCGCCTCCGTCCTCAGCGGTTTCTGTCCTTCATGTCTTCCAGCTCAGAGTCTCTGGAGGTCCACGCCTCCTTCGCCTGGGTGGGTCAGAGCCAGTACAAGCTGCAGCTGGGGGGGCGGGAGGTGGTGAGCCTCACTCTGCAGGCCTGCTTCTTCCGCGCCGGCGTCTACAACCTGAACACGCCGCGGGTGTTCGCCAAGCCGGCGGAGCACGCCGCCATGTGTGAATCCAGCCAGCAGACGGCCAGTCCTGCTCTCATCATCATCAACAACAGCGCCGCCCCTGAGGGGACCCTGGGGGGCCTCTGACCCCGCCGGGGCCACCTAAAGGAATCCCATCCAGGCCCGATGCTGAGTTGGCCGAAGACTGGAAGCCATCTTTGTTCTGCAGACGGACTAATAATTATTTATTTCTAATATCAGACTGATGTTAAATAAAGGAAATGATGCAGGCAGCGCTCGATTCGTTAGAACAACTGGAATCCATGTTTCTGGGGTTTATATATAATTAACCATTATTATAATATCTGATTATTTAGTTTCATCATTAAACCACCTGATTAAAGTTGCCTTTCTCTAAACTGAACAATTCCAAACGCCTCTTTGTGAAATGTTCCACTTTACATCCAGAGCAGATCCTGACTGATTAGGGTGATGGCAGGAGGCCATCCGGCTGGAAACGCGTCAGAAATGATGTAAATAAGAAGCTGCTCAGGTTCTAATCGGACCTTCAGCAGGAAAAGGTCTGAAAGGAGGAGGAAGCAGCGAGGAAAAGGTGCCTGACGCCACACAGGTGAGACCAGCTGAACGCCGGCCTCATGCTGGGGGGGGGGGGTTCTACTGCCTGGATGCATCTGATCTCTCTGGGTCCATTTTCCTCAGTGGTGACCTTTGACCTTTCTAAATGTAATCCTTAAGTTTTCTTTAACATGTTTTAGTTTAGGCCTCAGGATGTAAAACTGCTGGATGATCTATGGACTTCATCATGAAGCTCAGATGTTAGCATGTCGCTAACGGCTTCAGACTGAGGAAAAATGAACTGCTCCAAACGTTTAAACAGGAATGTTCTGACCGAGCAGGAAAAGTTTAACATTTAACAAACTAGGAGGAATAAATCTCAGCGCAGTTAGAGAGCAGCTGATGCTGCTAATCTATGCTAATCTAATCTATGAAAATAAAATCCCCTAAAAATGAATAAATCCACTGCTTCCATTTATTTCTCTACAGATTGACTTTAATGAACATTTACAGCAGAATAAAGCAGACATGATAGAAAACAGACGGAGTCCATGGAGCTCAGAGCAGCTCATCAACATCTGCTGGAGCAGAACCAACCAAGGCGTCGCTCAGCAGATTGAATCCCTTTTTGGCCTGAAAAGGCTCCCGTAGGGCAGCGTTTGAGGTTCAGTCGTCCCGCTGCTCCGGAATGGCCTCGTACCGTGGCGGCTGTCGGTACAGACAGTAGTGCTGAGTCATGAAGACGACGTCGAACGCCACGGAGAAAAGGCCCAGACCAAACTTGGTGGGGTCACCGAACACCAGCTGCCACTCATCTGGAGAGAAACACCAGAAGAAAGAAGCTCAGAAGCTCCTCCTACATTTAGCCTGGAGGTTAGGCAGACAAAAGCATCAGCAGGTGTGGGGGACTGTGGGGGGGACTGTGGTGGACTTCCACAGACCTCCCGAGGTCAGAGCCTCTAGATCGGGGAGTTAAACGCAGATCCTCCAGTATCGCTAGTTTAACACCAGACCGCAGAGCTACGCTAGCAGCAGGTCTGCGCTGCTATGAGGTCATATTGAGGTCAGGTGTGTTAAAGGCCCTGGAGGGTCTGAGTCCAAACCAGTCCAGATCTGCTGGTTCTGTGGGTCAAACTTCCTGCTTTATGAAAACTGAAGCAGCAAACGTCTGAAAGTCTCCCAGACTGAGCAGCTCCTCCTCTCCACTCTATCTACTCTATTTCTCTATGAAAAGTTTCCTTCATGCATCTGAATGTTTCAGAAGGTCAGCTGATGCTCCTAATGGCTGCAGGGGAACAGCATCAGAGGAAGCGGTAGGAAGACGGCTGGTCCTCCGCCGCCATGCGCAGAGGACAGCAGTGATGTTTTTACCGTTGTTGTAGGACTGAGCGATCATCTGCAGAATGCTGAAGATGCCACCGGTGAAGTCCAGCAGGACGTTCCCGATGCTCCAGCCCTCCGTGCTTTTCCTCCGGTAGTTCATGTACGCCTGGAATCAGACAGCATAGCATCAGCTAGCCTGTAGGACGCCACCGCATTCGGTCCGCCTTTAGCTCACCTGCGGCACGTATTTGATGAGGGTGACGGCGAGCTTAATGTAGGAGAAGTAGTACAGGTACTGCAACCAGGTGATCTTCTGGGCGACGGCCACAAAAAGGCTGATCAGAGCAAAGGTCCAACCAATCAGCAGCAGACACCTGGCCGTCCACGACACCGTCTGACCCCCCCTCTGAAAGAGAAGGGAACAGAGCTCCGTAACGACATGTTCTCCCTCTGCCGGATCAACGCCTCCCTCTGGTGGCGTACCTCGTACACAGCAGCCTGGCAGACGTAGATCGCACAGAGGAGGAGGGCGTGCAGGCTGAAGAAGACGTCGTTGGCGCTGACCGGGTTGATCCCGTTGGGGTTTTTCTGAAGGAACTCCTCCTGCAGAGAAACACAGAAGATCAACGCAGACGGACTCGTTTATCGCCGCTCCGCATCGCAGTCCGCCGCCTGATCCGGGAATTTACCTCGATGTAAGGAATCCAGAAGAGGCCGACGTTGAACACGCTGTAGGCGAAGAAGCCCGTTAGGTTGAGAGCCAGGAAGTCAAAGTTCAGACCTACGACACTGAAGAAAAGCTCAGGTTAAAACCTTCGGTTTTATTGATGCAGGCTCCGCCCCCTTTTACACGTCGGCTGCTAAACGGTTAAAGATCAACACATTAGGCTAACTTCAGGTTAAGCTCATTAATTACATGGATTCAACTTTTACTGATGATTAAAGCTGCAGATGATGAAACCCAGGATTTAAAAAACTCAGAATCCGTTCAGAGAAAGTTGAGTGGAAGGAAAAAGTTTGCAGAAAAAATGAGAAACTGCAACTTTAAGAGGTTTGGGAAGAAAAAAGAGTCTATCTAAGAAGCTTTGAAAGGAGAGGAGCGAGGCTAGAGTTAGAGCATCTAGATCCGGTAGAGCAGAGCTATCCTGATCCGATCCGGGACTGAGGAGAACCAGAACCGCTGCTCCATCAGGAGACCTGCTGGTCGTGACCTCAGAGGTCGTGACCTCAGCTCCGCCAACTGAAGCTTCTAGAACAGCAGAGAAGGAAACCAAGCGGTCCGTGAATCAGTGATGAGGTCCAGGTGGGCAGACATTACCTTTTTCTCCTCCAGTTCTCCCAGGCCTGCGGGTAGAAGGACACGGACCACGCCACGAAGTAAACCCACCCGATCACCTGGGCGACCACGGACAGAACCCGGCTGTGGATCACTATGAACCGGATCCTGGTGGACGGGCTGCAGAGAGAGAGAGATCTAACGTCAGGCACTGATCCTGGCTCCATCTGGACATTTCCGTTGCCATGGAGACGACAGCAGCAATCTCTGCAGCTGCTGAAGGTCGCATCAGTGACGCCGTTTCTATCAGAGGAAAGGAAGCCGACCTCCTGGATGATCATGAACTAGAAGTTCCACCACAACTCTGATCTGTTTAATATTCTATAGTTAAAGCCTTTTCTAGACGCTCCAGTCACGTTCGCTTCCATCGGACGCCAGAAGAACAAAGACGCTTGATTCGCCACCATCAATGACGCCATCTTTGATTTACTAAACTTAGACAACTATTATGCTCATTTTCTACAGAGTATAGAACATGTAAATAAATGAAGTTTTGTTCTGTACAACTTTCATAACATTACTTAAATGGCGACAGTGATCAAATGTAGAATAGAATAGAATAGAATAGAATAGATCAGAATAAAATAGAATAGGGAAATTCTGGTGTTTACAGCAGCAAAAAGGTTATAGAATAAAAATGATGACAGAAAATGTGGTGAAATGAAAAGTTAAAAGATAAATAATAAAATCCTGTCAACAGCGCAGGAGAAAAAAACATTAAAGCGTTGATATAGAAGCTCAGAGAATTAATTTATTTATGGAGCAAAGCAGAAAAATAAAGTGAAATAAAGGATAAACGGGTCACCTGTTCAGCTCTGTGTTGTTGGTGGACAGGAAGGTGGTCACCTGACCAGCATGGCGACCAATCACCGTAAAGTTGACTGAGGCGGTCTTCTCTGGAAGCAACACCTGAAAGAAAACAGGAAAGAAGGAATCACTGGAAAATAAGCTGCTGCTTTAGAACCAAGCAGGTCATCTGGAGCGCCACGACATCTGAGCATGCTAATCCGTGGAGCATGCTAACCCGTGGAGCATGCTAACCCCTGGAGCATGCTAACCCGTGGAGCATGCTAACCCGTGGAGCATGCTAACCCGTGGAGCA